AAGAATAATCTGATCCAGCCGAGCCTTAGCCCGTGCGCGGTACCGGCACTTATAGTCCCAAAAAAAGACGGCACTTGGAGGATGTGTATGGACAGCCGTGCAATCAACAAAATTACAATCAAGTTTCGATTTCCTGTACCACGGATTGAAGAGCTACTGGAACGATTGGCCGGAGCTAAAGTATTTTCCAAGCTGGACCTCCGCAGTGGATATCATCAAATTCGGATTCGGCCCGGTGACGAATGGAAGACAGCCTTTAAAACGCGGCAAGGATTGTTCGAATGGAAGGTAATGCCGTTTGGGTTGTGTAACGCCCCTTCTACCTTCATGCGATTAATGACCGAGGTTCTCAAGCCTTTTCTCAACAAGTATTGTGTCGCTTACTTTGATGATATACTAGTTTATAGTACCTCCTTGGCTGACCACATCACTCATCTATCTGATATCCTCATGGCTCTAAGGCAAAACCAACTCTACTTAAATCCAAGTAAGTGTGAATTTGCCACTTCATCCGTCTATTTTCTCAGCTTTGTATTGTCCGCCGCAGGTGTCCGAGTAGACCAGCGGAAAGTTGACGCCATTACCAATTGGCCGACTCCAGGCTCATTCGCGGATGTTCGTAGCTTCCATGGCATCGCCAATTTTTATCGTCGATTCATCAAGAACTTCAGCACCGTGATGGCGCCAATCACAAACTGCTTGAAACTGAAACAATTACAGTGGGGCGTGGAGCAACAAGCTAGCTTTGAAGCAATTAAATGTCCCTTATCTTCAGCGCCTGTACTAGCTTTACCCAATTTTGAGAAACCTTTCATGGTTGATACGGATGCTTCCGCCATCGGCATTGGGGCTGTTCTAAGTCAAGAAAACAAGCCCGTTGAATTTTTCAGCGAGAAATTATGTGAATCACGGCAGAAATGGAGTGTCTATGAGCAAGAGTTGTATGCGGTGGTGCGAGCGCTCAAGCAGTGGGAGCCTTATCTCCTGCATCAAGAATTTGTTTTATGCAGTGATCACCGAGCATTTCAGTACATTAATAGTCAAAAACACATTAATCGGATGCACGCAAGGTGGGTCTTATTCTTACAACGATTCACATTCGTCCTGAAACACAAATCAGGGACGCAGAACAAGGTGGCAGATGCACTTAGCAGGCGGCATGCCCTGCTGACTGAATTGCGAACGGAGATTACGGGACTTGAATGCTTGAAGGAATTGTATGCTTCTGATGAGGATTTTTCTAAAATCTGGAAGGACTGTTTAATCAGCAACTCATCTCGGGAGTTCACTATAAGACATGGTTTCTTATTCAGGCATAACCAGCTTTGCATACCCGACTCATCTTGGCGACCGCAACTCATCAAAGAAGTCCACTGTGGGGGACTAGCGGCTCACGTGGGTAGAAGCAACACATTTGATCAACTGCAGTCCCGCTTCTACTGGCCGCATCTGCATCGTGACGTGTAGCGATTTGTGGAAAGGTGCTCTGTGTGCCAGAGTTATAAGACTGGTGGACATCTTGCGGGACTATATTTACCATTACCAACCCCGGAGACTATATGGGAAGATCTAAGTCTTGATTTCATGATGGGCTTACCTCGTACAAGGCGTGGCCATGATTCAATAATGGTCGTTGTAGACAGATTTTCAAAAATGGCTCATTTCGTGCCTTGGAAGAAGACATTTGATGCTTTAAATGTAGCCCGCATTTTCTTTGTCGAGATTGTCCATCTTCATGGTTTGCCACGAAGTTTGACATCGGATCGTGATGTTAAGTTCATCAGTAATTTCTGGAAGGAATTATGGAAACGACTGCACACTGACATCAAACTCAGCTCGGCTTATCACCCTCAAACGGATGGGCAAACCGAGGTTGTAAATCGTACATTAGGCAACATGCTACGTTGTCTAGTTCAGGAGCACCCTAAACTGTGGGATGAACTACTTGGGCAAGCTGAATTTGCCTATAATAGCATGCCAAACCGATCTACAGGAAGAAGCCCCTTCAGCGTGGTGTATACCAAACACCCAAACCATACTGTAGATATTGCGGTTTTGCCCAAATGTGCTAGCAAGCCCGCCTCTGACTTTGCCAATCAGTTTTCTACAATGCTGCAAGATGTAAGATAGAAACTCATTGAATCCAATTCAAAATATAAGGAACAAGCTGACAAGCATCGCCGCGAACGTATCTTTAAGCCGGGAGACTTAGTCATGGTCCGCCTGAGAAGAGAAAGATTTCCGCAGGGGACTTATTCAAAATTAAGCCGCAAGAAGATTGGACCATTCGCTGTCCTTCAACAAATCAATTCAAATGCCTATGTTGTGGATTTACCGACTCACTACAACACCTCGTCTACATTTAATGTCGTCGATATCATAGCTTATCATCCTCCGGACGAGGCACCTACAAATGTTTCATCATCAGAGACTGATTCTCCTGCTGATGGGGGAGAATGATGCGGTGCATCAAGCCATCGGGTGCACTCTACACTTTATATTAGTTATTATAATATTTTCCTATTATCTGTTTTTTGTTTCTGTTGCATTCCCACTAGCATAGTTTCTTTTTATATGACTGTTTAGTGAAAACTACTTTTTAGTTGCCGTAGACATTTTCAGCAAGAGACAGCTCTCTTGATAGCTAGTTTTTGTATATCTTCTCTTGGAGAAGATGAAGAAGGCAGTTGATCAAATATACATTTTGGCAGCAAGCAACTCGCCGGTATGGTTACCAGCTGATGAACGGCAGTCAAAATTTTCCTCTGATTGTCGTCAAGAGTGAACTTTTAAAGTTTGTCATTCTTTACGAATCTGAGCTCTGATATCAACTGATATAGTGAAAAATCATTATAAAGCAACTCAAAGAGCACAAATAGTAAAAACAATGTAAATTCCAAAAAAAATCATATATCTTTCTCCCTTATAGAAAATTTATATAATATAGCCATAGAATATTCTAACAAGTTCTAGAAAATAGGTACAAAACAGATATAATTGTTCTAAGGTATATTTTATTTAAGATGCATCGCATCATATATGAGTAGTGCATCTTAGGATTAGGATACCTTATATACCCTTTATTAGCTTTGGTACCTACTTTCTAGAATCTTCTATTGTTATGTTATATATATAATTGTTGTAGGAAGAAAGGATACAAGAGTATTTTTGGAAAATTATAGTATTTTTATTTTTCTTGGTTCTTTAAGCTTATTTTCATCTTCTTCAATGATTTTCACTACATCAGTTGGTATCAGAGCTCAGACTCGTGAATAATTACGAACTTCATACATTCACTTGGGAAAGACGATCAAAGGAGAAGTTATGACCATGTATATCAGCCGGCAACCATACCGACTATTCGAAACTACCCGCTACTAGCAACCATAACGGCAAAATCGATCTCACCACTACTGGCAACCATACCAGTTAATTAATCCCCATTGTTAGCAATCATGCTGGCGAATCGATCTCACTACTAGCAACCATATCGGCAAATTGAACTCCACCGATGGCAACCACGCCGTCGGACAGCTTCCTGCAAGGTACACATGTGTGTCCAAAAAACCCTTCGATCCGCCCCACACGTCGCATGCTCCATCTCGCATGCGCCCATCTCTGCTCTAACCCACGCCAAAGCCTTCATGCTCTATCCAGCACGCGCCCTTCTTCTCTCCGACCACACCTGCGTGTTCTGTCTCGCACGCGCGCCCATCTCTGCTTTGACCCAGGCATGTGCCCTCGTACTCCGTCCTGCACACGCCTATATCCGCTCCTTCACGCGACCCAGACTTATTACCGCTTCCCTCTCCCGGCGCCCCAATCCTCTAAATCTAGTTCCGAATTTTCATATGTTGGGGGAGTATGATGCATTGCATCTTAGGATTATGACACCTTAGGAATAGTATACCCTTTATTAATTTTGGTACCTACTTTTTAGAACCTTTTAGAAATCTTCTATTGATATGTTGTACTTAAAATTGGTATAGGAAGAAAGGATACATGAGTATTTTTTTAAAATTATAGTATTTTTACTATTCTTGGTTCTTTGAGCTGTTTGGCATCCTTCTTCAATGATTTCCACTACATCAACCAATATAAGAATGAATACATAAAATGATAAACAACACCCATGTGGACAAGAGAAAATCTCAATGGAAATAGGGAAGGAGGGAAGAAAGAAAGGATGGATGCATGTAAATTTTTGTGCATAAAATGAATGCATACTTGCTAAGTTCTCTTGGCTCCATGGTAAGGAAGACAAACACTCTACAGTCTACACTTTCTAAATCAAAATATCAATACACCTGAAGGCCATAAGGGACATGCTACTTGTCACGACCCAACCCGACCGGGACGGATCCCGCTCGCATCGAACCGCAACATAACCGTTGAAAATCCAGGATCTAGCTTTGGAATTTGCTTCAGACTTTCTTCCAAATATCAAACTTACATAAAACACAGAGTTACTATAAACATCAAATATACAGAACAGTTCATATATATTTTCTTCTTTCATCACATAATCATATACAATACATTGTTGTAATATTCTGAAATGACGAGTAAAGAAATTTTTATTTATCTAATATATTTAATTTAGTTATCTAATTTATAAAATGATATTAATTAATAGAAACTCTATTTAAATAATTAGAGGTCTGAAAGGATGCAAGTCTTGGACAATTGGTTGCTTGGTGGGCCCGTTTTCAGTTTCTACTTTTGGATAAGGGGAGGGCGGACGTTTCCTGGGAAGAGGGGAAGCCAATTCACGATTTTGATGAGTGAAAATTTGTTGTTGGAGAGGAGGCTATTAGCAGTTATGAAAGGAGAAGTCGCGCAGGCGGTCTGAATGCATGAGATCGGTCTGTGCTAGAATTCCTTGTAGAAAAATTCGGTAAAAGGGCTGATATATACTGTATTCGGTTTTGTGTTCTGGATCCCTGATTCTGCACATTTCAGAGATGTTAAGGCTGGCAGTTTTGTGTTGAATGCATGAGATCGGTCTGTGCTAGAATTCCTTGTAGAAAAATTCGGTAAAAGGGCTGATATATAGTGTATTCGGTTTTGTGTTCTGGATCCCTGATTCTGCACATTTCAGAGATGTTAAGGCTGGCTTCTTGTACTCGGAAAAGAAGAATGGCAGCCTAGGTTGAGTAAGTGATGTTGTGATTAAATTTAACATGAGCAGTTAGAAAATTTTGGCATAATTTTAAGAATTTCAGATTCCTACAGCAGTTTTAGGAAGGGAATTCATTGAAGAAAAATCCAGTTAAAAGGAATAAAGAGATTTGAGGTAATATATTCTAGTTATTTTATAGGTTTTATGATTGTCTTATAGATCAATATGTAATGGTAAAAGTCTAAAGAAGTGTATATCAATGGAAATGTTAGGATTCATCAGGTATATATGCAGAGAGGTGAATTGGAGATAGTTTATCAAAGAAGAAGAGTGAGAGGTGAAAGAACTGAGGCGGAAAATCATCAAAGAGGTAAGTAATGCAATTATGTTCAAATTTAAGAACTTTCATTTATAAGCATGAAGGTTAATTTTGAATGCAATAAAGTAAAATGTTATTAAATTTGTTTAATGTATAGAAATGATTTTTAATTCAAGCTTCCAGGTATGAATAACCTGATGCATAATAAAATCAGGTAAGTGTAAAACAAGGTTTAATATGTTCATCTAAATGTTTTCCTATTTAATACTGTTTTGGAAAGATGTTAATTTACTTGCATATGGTATGCAATTTTAATTGTGTACAGATTAGAACAGAAATGATTATGAAGCATGCAACAACTTATGTATACTGAAAAGTTTAGTGAATATCAATTTAAAAGTAAAGTTTGGCTATAATTGAAGTATAACTTACAAATGTAGATGGGACGAAAGGGTTCCCATATATGAAACTACATTGTAAGTGGGGCAAAAGGGACCCTAGAGATTATGATACCTGCATAGCAGGTGGGGCAAAAGGGACCCCTAAAGAGGCAAAAGGGACCTCTATGTAATTCAATGGCGATAATGCCAGGTTTACCTGGGCTCCATTGAATAATGTAAAGAAAGTGTAGCCAAATCTTTTATAGATTAAAATTGATATTCAGTTAAATTTCATAAGAAGTAAATATTAAAGTTAATTATGAATTTCTGATGATTTTAATGTTTAATTATTTTCAATGATTGTACTTTAAATGTTAATTAATTTGCAATGCTTACTGAGACTCATAGCTCACCAGTATTTTTCTTACTAGCTGTTGTTACAGGAAAGGGAAAAGAGAAGATCCTAGCAGATTAAATTGACAAGTATTCCATAAGTTATGTTATGTTAGTTTTTATCCTTATTTAATGTTTAAACTTGAGGTAGGTAATATAACCAATAATGTATTACTTTGAAGTTTTGTAGTGGATATGTAAGTATCTTAAGTTAAAAATTTATAGTTACTAGTTGCTTCCGTTTTGATAAGATGAATGAGAACTTTTAAATGTTTTATAAAAATTATCAAAGGTATTAAAGGGATCTTATGATCAAATGATGAATTTTATGACAGTAATACTCCCTGTACTGTTAAGGGGTATTGTGGGGTGTTACAATTGCATGGCTACAGACAGAAAGAACATAATAGAAAAGTCATAACTGTACAAAAATCAAAAGTACAAAATATCTAATTACAGATCAGATATTGAACGGCTAGTCCAAGACTTCCTTCCCTTTCCCAGAACCTAAAAACCACGCAGATAACAAGGATGAGCTAACAGCTCAGCAAGACTACACTAGCCAATCAAAATCTCTAGAAACACACATCAGAAAATACATCAGAAGAGTAATCGTACAAAATTCAGATCATCGTGCAGAAATCGTATAAGCAGACATAATACAGATACTTGATCAAACAGAAATCAAACCACAAACGGAATTCATTTTATATAATAGAATATTCAAGTCAGATTTCACAGAATAAACAGAATCGTACATAACAAACAGAATCGTATAAATCAGATTTCAAATCAGATAAAATCACATTTCACTTATCAGATAACACATCAGATTCCCGGACCCTGACAGAATCTCAACGGATTTAAGCCCCTTATGTCTCCCTTCCCTGACACAGACAGAATCTCAACGGATTCTGGCCCCTTATGCCTCCCTTCCCTGACACAGACAGCATCTTAACGGATTCTGGCCCCTTATGCCTCCCTTGTGCTTACAGCACCAGAACTTGTCAAATATACAGAATTTTCAGATCAGAATTACTTTTCAGATTTCCCTGACATAGACAGAATCTCAAAGGATTCTAGCCCCTTATGTCTCCCTAGTGATAGCATACAAACACATCAAATCATCCAATTCAGAAAATCATATTAAGTCAAAAAAATCGTCAGCGGCATAACGACAGTATACGGAAATTCCACAGAATTCACAATTTCAGAAATTTATTAATTTACCACAGATAATATAAAACATCATTTCAAGACTTTCATTGTACTGAAGCAAATATTTTCAACATCCAGATAATTCGCTATTCGATAAAAACGCCGCAGAATTCAAAATACCTGGTGAAAATCTTCCATAAAATACTCAAAACGTGCAAAAACATCGTCTCAGAAATATACCAAAAGTTACATTGTAAAACATTCACCAGTACGAAACGATACTAAATTTTCGCTAACGGAAATCGAATTTGAAACAAAAAAATCGTCAAAATCCACATTTTTGAAAATTGAGAAAGGCAGAATGTGTCTTACCTCGAGTCGGTAAACTTTTCCAACTACGGCGACGAACGAAAACAAATCGAAGTCGCCCAATCACTTTTCTTCCTTTTTCCTTCGTTTTTCTCTTTCCTGGGCTTTCTCTCTCTTCAAAAATATCTCAATCCAATATATAGAAATTCAGATCGTCCCAATCCAATATATACAAATTCAGATCGTCCCGGATGAATCCTATTCGTCCCGGGACGATTTGCCCTCTGGACGAATTTCGTTCAGACGAAGTGTATTCGTTTCTGGACGACTTACTCTCTGGACAAATTTCGTACGGACGAACCAAATTTCGTACGGACGAACCTCCCAGTTCACAGATCCTATACTTATCATCCCAGGACGATCCCACTTCGTCCTGGATGATCCTGGAAGGAAAAACTAAAAATTGGCTTTCATAGGAGGGAAGAAAGAATGAATGGAAGCATGTAAATTTTTGTGCATAAAATGAATGCATACTTGCTAAGTTCACTTGGCTCCATGGTAAGGAAGACAAACACTCTACACTTTCTAAATCAAAATATCAATACACCTACATCGAGACTCTTAGCTTTTGAGCAAGGCCTCTCTGGTTCAATTCAAGAATTCAACATCCATGTTATTATGATCCACAAGTCAACCCATGTGTTATTCGCTTCAAATGAGCTAATCCAAATATCCAACAGAAATTGCCCTATAAATGGAAATATAATATAGCAGGAAAGCCATACACAATGTTCAAAGAAATAGCATTGATGCCCGTGAACACACAAACAAAAACATAGATTGGATCTTTTAACAGAGGAATCTATCAGGCAAGGCACATAAAACAGCTTCTCTACTGCTGCGATACCTCCAAGTACAAAATTTTCAAGATCTCAAATAGGCCTTTCATGGGGGATTCTATTGCAGCCACAACCACCTTTTAGGTTTGATGTAATATAAAGAAAGATCAACCTCCTGTTTCTCCAAATCTGCATAATTTTCGAACCAAAAAGTCGCAGAAAAGCATATTTGGTCTGCCTGAGTTGCATAACCTAAGCTAGGGCTTCATGAAGGTTCTTCTGAAGTTCGAGTTTTCGATCCGACGCAAAAATTAAATTTTTTGATATCGGACAACGCGAATTACGATATATCATATCATGATCTTACAGATAGAACCAACTATGAAACGAAATTGACGAAACTACGAATGAAAAAGATTATATTAGTATACATCTATTTAAAATCTTCCGCAAGAACGCCCCGATGGCGGCTGCAACTTGCAAGCTCTATGACCTGATTAGACAATAAAAATTGGGGAAAACACCCCAAAGGTATGAAAATGAAAACTAAGTTGCGCGAGGGAAAATGGAATGTTTTCAACATTGAGACCGGGTGAACTCACAACTTATCTGCTTTCGACATCAGCTTCTCAGGTCGGAACTCGCAGAAAAGCATATTTGGTCTGCCTGAGTTGCATAACCTAAGCTAGGGCTTCATGAAGGTTCTTCTGAAGTTCGAGTTTTCGATCCGACGCAAAAATTAATTTTTTTGATATCGGACAACGCGAATTCCGATATATCATATCATGATCTTACAGATAGAACCAACTATGAAACGAAATGACGAAACTACGAATGAAAAAGATTATATTAGTACACATCTATTTAAAATCTTTCGCAAGAACGCCCCCATGGCGGCTGCAACTTGCAAGCTCTATGATCTGATTAGACAATAAGAATTGGTGAAAACACCCAAAAGGTATGAAAATGAAAACTAAGTTGCGCAAGGGAAAATAGAATGTTTTCAACATTGAGACCGGGTGAACTCACAACTTATCTGCTTTCGACATCAGCTTCTCAGGATCGGAACTCGCCATTGCTCCGAACAGAGAAGACGGCTTCCTGTTCTCTGCGTTCTCCCCTCCCGTCCAAGCTCGGATATTTATGTTTGGAAATAAAAAAAAAAAATATTGGGAAAATTATGTTTGGAAAATTTGAAAAAGATTTCCAAGCCACGACGTCTTTTTCTAAGCGTGGTTTAATTCATTGGCATCAAGTAAATGTTTTTATAATTTAAAAAATTAATAAATATACAACTAAAATATAAATTAATAACTTTTGTATAGAACAAAATAAAAAATGATGCAAAATTAAGATTACTTGTTCTTAAAAATATATTGCTTGCAAACTGGAATATTAGTAATCTGTGGACGATGGTGGACACTGGGATAGTAGTCGGTAGGCGATGGTGACCAAATGGATCATAGTCGGTGGGCGACAAAGGTCAAAGGGATCATAGTCCGTGAGCGACGGTGGTCAGAGGGATCATAGTCGGTGGGCGACAAAGGTCAAAGGGATCATAGTCCGTGAGCGACGGTGGTCAGAGGGATTATATTTGGTAATTGGTAGCCCGGTAGAGAACCAACAATGGTTGGCCGTGGGAGGAGGTCTAGCGGCAGTCAACGATCGGGCGGTGGTCCGATGATGGTCAGGTGAAAGTCCAACGGCGGTTGGTAACATGATGAAAGTCCGGCGATAATCGACAGTCGGGTGGTAGTCTGGCAGCCATGCGATGGTCTGATGATTGACAAACGAAAATTTGGTGACTATTGAAGGTTGGGTGGAAGTTCAGTGGTAGTCGGCGACCAAGCGATTGTCCAACGATGGTTGGGCGGAAGTCCAATGACTGTCGACGTCCTGCTAGAAGTTTGGCGGCAGTCAACGACAGGGGTGGTGGTCCAACAATGGTCACGTGAAAGTCTGGCGGCGGTCGATGGCCGGGCGTGATTCATTGATAGTCGACAGAGGTGGTGTTAAAGTTCTTGAAGCCTGTGAGTTCTCTCTCCAATTTGTAGCCAAAGGTCTCTTTCATGTAGAGAGTGGGGGTCTATTTATAAATTTTTTTTGAGTGATACACCCCATAAATATAACGAAGATCTATGGCTTTTTCATAGTGCTCTATCGGATTGTCCGTATTGATTCCTCGATCATAAAATATTTTTCAAGTGTTAAGTGCCTTAATGATGTCAAAAATTAACAATCTTGGGCTCGTTGGATTCTTCTTGCCGAGCTGCTCGATTCGAATATAAGCATGTCATATTTGTATATCATTTTGTCATCCAATTAACACTTTGAACCTTCAAAATACACTTCAGACTCATAATTCAAACTAATTTGACCTCATATTGGACAGATTTTAGTGGCATTTAGTTCGTCTCTTCGAGACATTCATTTTGACAGTAAGTTTGTTGAAATTGAAATTCATATGATCCTAAATTTAATTATAAAAATTTCTAATTTGAATATGCCTCAAAATTTATGCACTATTGATTTTTGTGAAATATCAATACTTATTATGAATTACAGAAGTTTCATTATATTGTAGATCTCGGATAAATTTTGACGTGGTATGTCGAGACATTTTAAAAATAAATATTTTAAGAACATCAAATATCATAATATGCATAGCAAATAATGAAACATCAAATATCATAATATTTGATAAAAAATATAAATTGAAGGGAAATGAAAGAATGAATATCTTATGTCTAACATGTAATAATCTATTAATCAATTTCAGTTCTTTCAAACACTTTCCACTTAAAAGTGCATTAATTGTATAAGAATTAAGCATAAAAAATATAAATATAATCATAACAAGCAAATCAAACTTTAAAAGAATTATACGATAAAAAACTTCGTCAACTTCTTTATTTATTCACATACAGTCTGTGAACAATAACTTCCACTGCATCTCTATAGTTAAAACTCATAATCATAACATTAAATTATTGTCTTCCATGTAACCTCAAAACACAAGAGATTGTATCAATAGGTTAATATTTAAGAATTCAAAATTGAAAAAATGAAAGGTGAACTTTCGTAAAGCATTATTATAATAAAATATAAGAGAAATATCAAATAGGAAAAAAATGTTATCAATGAAACATCAAATTTTAAAAATTATGATTGTTAATTTTTGTGAAATTTGATTGTGTTGATCAATCAAGTTGCTCTCTTGATTCAACTACCAATTTTACTAGTCGAGCTTTATTAAGAGCTCACTTATTTATTTATTTTTATTTTTATTTTAAACTTAAGCTCACTTGGGGATTGCAGGGAGCAACTCATGTCACGACCCGACCCGAGACGGATCCCGCCCGCACCGAGCCGCGACCAGCCAAACAAACAGACCAGGATCTGGCTTTGGAATTTGCTTCAGAACTGATTCTTCCAAATAGTTCAACTCAAAAACAGACACACAGAGCTATTATGAAACATCAAATGCAGCGGAACAAAACATCTATATTGTTCTTTCTTTTCCTCAAAACAATCATCTACAACTACAGGCCATGGCTCAGACAGAAAGAAACAGAGCAGAAGAGCCATGTCTGTACAAAAATCAAAAGTACAAAACAATACCTACGGATCAGACTCTGAAATCTATTCATGTACCTCCTTCCCTTTCCCAGAACCTGAAAACCACTAGAAAACAAGAATGAGCTACAACAGCTTAGCAAGACATCAAACCTCCAATCAAAATCCTCAGAGTCTACATCAACACAATCAGACAGAAATCCATACAGAAATCGGAACATAATCGTACATCAAATCAGAACAGAATCAGAATCGTACAGATCAAATCAAATCAGAACATAACAGAAATCATCATATCAGAACTGACAGAACGTACGGAAATCAGAAATCAGAAATCAGATTACATCATATCAAATCAGAAGTCATATCAGAACAGACAGAATCGTACAGAAATCATAAATGCATAATAAATCAGAACAGATATTTCAGAACAGATCTTCCTCCCAGATTTCAGAACTTACCCTTATATCTCTCTTGTGCATACAGCACTAGAACTTCCCCTTATAGCTCCCTTGTGCATACAGCACCAGAACTTCCCCTTATAGCTCCCTTGTGCATACAGCACCAGAACTTCCCCTTATAGCTCCCTTGTGCTTACAGCACCTTCCCCTTATGGCTCCCAAAAGCATACAAAATCATAACATGTCATTTCAGAACAAATCCGGACAATTTCAGAATTCATACGAAAATCCGGCAGCGTAACGGCAGTATACGAAATTTACACAAAATTTCCTAAAAATCACAAATTACCAAATTATCACAG